TCATTTAAGAAAAGATGACATAAAATTACAAAGGACTCACATAAAGTTTCAGTCAACTGTGACCCAGTGCAAGCCAGTCCAGCAGTTAAACACTGCATAGTTCCCAGTTACCAACCAGTCACTAAGCATGACAGCCTGTCAGCACTGGCTGCACATAAAGATGCACCGAGTACTGCATCAGCAGAAAGGAAGGGAAGGTGAAGAGCTTTGAAGAAATATAATTTCCTTTTTTTTTTTAAAAAATGGAAACATTTTGGAGGAAAGATATAACTGATCTTATTTCAACAGGAGATGTGTGAACGCTACATTGTGCTGTCCTCCTCTCACTTGCTGATTCTTTCAGTGGATCGTACAAAGAAGGCACTTGTTTATGAGGTAAAGCGCAAGAAACCTTTTGTCTGTTGTATCCGTGTCCATATTCAAGATTTCCTAAATGTCTCTGTACTCATAGCTCTAGCATGTACAAAATGAGTACCTACACTCAGTGCCCTGCGAAGAGGAAGGCTCAGGATGGAGCAAACACGCAGGTCCTATCAGCCAAGACAGAGACATTTCACTGAGTTCAGTGGAGCTTTGTTGCGTAGCACAGTAGCTCACAATTCTCCTTTTTTCAGCATAATTTGAACACAGAAGTGAGTCTGCTCCAGGGATTGAAAAGGAAGTGCCAGTTTGCATTTATATGCCTACTTCTAGGATCTATAGTGTTAGCTGGCCTCTTATCACCCAATTTGTTTACCCACGGAGAGGGATTGCAACTCCATACGAGTGAGCTAAGCAAACAAGGCATCAACCAGGAGGTGTCGAAAGAAAGTTATACGAACAGGAGATTACAGGAGAGAGAGTTAGGAAAGGTATATCGGGGGACAGATAGGGTGTACCAAGGAGAGACATATCCAGAAGAGCTGCCTTCAGCACAGCACTGTCTCCTGATGGCTCTCTCTGGTGCATCTCTGTGGATCCTAAATGTGAGGAAACAAAATGAGCCAAACTAGAAAACTCGTAACTACAGAAAGCAGGTCCTGGGTCTGTATAACACTGGAGTCGATAAAGATCTAAGTCCCTCCATCGGTTAAGGCTGGCAGTGTAAGAGGACACAGAAAAGAAATCATCCGTTTATGAAATATAGGATCCAAAAACTGGGGCCTCTTTGTCCTGAACATGAGTGTGGTCTTCTAGCGTGGTTTGGGGCATGGGGCAGGAATTCAAGAGAGGGAAGCTGCAAGGCAGATTAAATCCTATCTAATTCAAAGTACTTTTCAACACCAGCCTTGGTCTATTGGTGGAGCTCACTCCTACATCTCAGAGCACTTCATGAAGGAGGAGAGTCATTTTATGGGTAGGGAAACATGAATAAACCCCTGATTTCCTGAGTCTTCAGACAATGAGCTGAATGCCATCCCACCCAGACTTCCTTCAACTCAAAGGTTCGCAGGATGGGAAATTCTTTAGCCTGGCTTGCAGAAAAGCGTTCTGCTGTAGATCAGAGGGACCACAGCGGGACACAGTTGTCATTACCAAACAATTTCTAACGCAATTCCCTACCACACCAGGGTCTCCTTCCTCTTGCTGGGATGCATCTGAGAGAAATTGCGAGTGCCATCAGCCACACATTTGAAATTTCTGGTAAGCCTGTTCTGCAGCTCCTGAAGGGGCCTGTGATAGTCTTAAAGCAGCAATACCTATGCTCTAGCCTTCAGGGACTGGCCCACGTGGCTAGAAGGTGAGAGGGGTTACGCAGCCATGCAGAGGACTGCTGAAGAAGGGATATGCCTCCTCTCCAACATCCAGCCATGCTGGAGAATAGCTATGCCTTTCAGGACTGGACCCTCACGTGCAGCATACACTACAGTTGCACAGAGAGATGAAGCACAGCTAGATGGAAGGAATTCGGAATCTTAGTTTTTACAGGTGGACACAACTGCTGCACAGCCTTAAACCAAGAATGCCTTAGGGTTAACTAGAATTCCTCACATGCAAGGCAATATAAATTACAGGTTTCCCTTTGCTCTAATTTTCTACTGAAATTAAACAGTAGGCAAATACTGCTGTCTGCATGTAGAGGAAGCCACCTAACTGTCCCAGAGCCAACCCAGTATCCGCCATCAGGAACAACTCAAGACAGACACAAGCTTGTTTCATCATGAGATATCAAAGCACAGGAGGAACATGGCTATAGGGATAATCGATTGAGTGAAGGGGCATCACACAGAGTTCACCCGTTTGGCTCAAAGGTGGCTCGCAATCGTCCTTCCTCAGACCCAGCGGCTGTACATTTCTTTGCACAGGGTCCATGATAGAATCCAGGCTCATCTGCTGCCAGAATTCAGCTGACTTTGACATGTGGGTTCACCACCTCCAGCACCAAATCAAGGTGGCAAATGTTCACTGCCCAGTCAGACCCAACAATATCATCTCTTTTCTGGTGAGTCAGTGCCTAAGAGGTGTAAAGGGAATGGGATGAGAACAGGGAACAGTGGCAGCTTTGAAATCAGACAGGGTTTTTCAGGGATTCTTGGAATGCAGGGTGGAAATGAACAGCAGTATTTCCTGAGGATGCTGCTGTAGGCTATGGTAAGTAAACTTGCTACACACAATTTTGCAACTGCTACTCTGTGCTCATGAGAGATTTTTAGAAAAATTCCTGATCGTTTTTTTTCCTGGGACGTAACTACTACACAGGCAAAAAAAAATTAAAAAAAAAAAAAAATCAAATTTCCTCTTAGTTAGTGTCACAAAATAAAGCCTTTTGGATACATGCAGACTGTCACACCCGTGGCAGCGCACACTGCACCATCCCGCAGGGTCACAAGATGGCAGGATTACACTGCCACTGAAAACACCCAGGCAGCGGGGCCTCAGGGATTCCACCACCGTCTCCCCAAAGCTCGTGCCCATGTGGTGCTACGCTCAGATTCCTAAGGGTAAGGGTAAACTCGAAAGCCAGCCTGTCTTTCCTGCCCCCAGTTCTGCTAAGGTTTCCCCTTTTTTTAAATACTCGCTCTGCTGTCCTTGATGTCCAGCATGGCATAGACTGCAGGGCAACACTGTGCCTTAGCTGTGCCTAACAGCATGCTTGTCTTCAGTTTGGGAGGAGAAAGTACAACCCAGAGCACCCATCCTTAAGAGATGCTGATTTCTGATGTTCCCTGCAGTTCACATAATTGTTTGTAGCTAGTGGATATAAGATAATTTTATAGTAGTTACCCCAGGTGGTCCTGCTCTAAGGATTCAACGTAGATTGCACAAATCCATCCAGGACCCAGCACAGCCCTGGACACCAGGAGCCCACACTGAACCCCGCTCCCGTCAGCTGGACAGCACTGCTTTGAAGAAAAAGGAAAACATCCCCTAATAAAGGGACTTCAATGCCAAGCTCAAAGTGCTTCGAGCTAAGGGGAAATACTAATTCAAATGAAACCACAGTCTCAGCCAACCTCTTCTGAGGGGGGAGAAGGAAACTGAAACCTTTCCATTTTAACAGCTAAAGCTGTTTGGTTGTGTCTGCTGCTGCTCATGAAACCACAGTACAGACAATTTTGTTCAAGTAGGTTGGAAACCTACAGCAAACTAGGAACTCCACCAGAGGGCTGGGACCCCGCTGCTGTGAGGACAGGCTGAGAGAGTTGGGGCTGTCCAGCCTGGAGAGGAGAAGGCTCCAGGGAGAGCTTACTGCGGCCTTTCAGTACTTAAAGGGGGCTTGTAAGAAAGACAGGGTCAAATATTTTTATCAGGGCCTGTTGCAACAGGACAAGGGGGAATGGTTTTAAACCAAAAGAGGGGAGATTTAGACTGGATATAAGGAATGACTAGATGGCCTTTAAAGGGTCCCTTCCAACCCAAACTATGATTCTATACCTTAAATACTTTCTTTTACCACCCAATAACCCTGAAAAACACCATACTTGTAGTTTTATCTCATTTGGTTCTGTTTAAAAACAAAATAAGGTGCCATGTGATGAACAGTGGAAGAAAAGGGAGCTGATGAGACATCTGTTGTGCAATACCATTCTGAAGTGGGAAGGAAAACCTATTCAGCATCTGGGAAGGATACAGTATTTGATGATGGTGCAAGTGGCTAGTAGCTGCATGGAGGTAATGTACAATGTATACTGCTCTGACATGTGGGTGGCTTTAACATGACTGGAACCAGTGAAAGTTTAGGCTCGTGTGGAACTGTTGCTTAAAGAAACAGACCAAAAAAAACAAAAAGGCCAATTATGTCAAAAACTCACAGTATTAAAGAGATAAAAGGAAATGCAGTTGTATTTCTGAAAGCTGCTTCTGACAACGTGTCCAGAGTTGCACTCAGTTTCCAAGGGAGTAGAGCTGGGAGGGATAGTCCACCCCTTCCCAATCACACAGCATTATCAACATTTTCTAAACATCTCCTTGCAGATGTGTACCTCATCTATTCTAAAAAAACCTCACCACTTTGTGATATTGTGTCAGCTTTCTAAGCAATGAATAGCCAACCTGAATAAGAAATACAAAGAATAGTAGCTGTGGCTGGCACAGGAGCACCTGGGTGCTGCAGACAGTTTTAAGTTTTGGTGTATTGTCAGAGTCATTAAACTTCATATTCTGCCTGTGATTGAGTGGAATTTATTGAACATTTTTACTGTCTCTAAGATGCTTCTTTTCCACAGGACTCTGAGGAAAGACTGTTGATCCTGTTTCCAGAAGACTTGCTTTTCCTCTCTGTGGATAAGGACAGAACTGCGTTCACATACAAGGTAACAGAGGAACTACGGGAAATGGTCAAGTAAACAAAGAACTAAAAGGAGCTGGAGCTAGTGAGCCCGTTCACATACAAGGTAACAGAGGAACTACAGGAAATGGTCAAGTAAATGAAGAACTAAAAGGAGCTGGAGCTAGTGAGCCACACTGGGTGATGAAAATGTTTGAATAGCAAGGAGAAAGGGAGGAGGCAAAGGAAAAACACCTTTTTTGTTTTCTTCTTTGAAGGGAAAACTCCCCCTAACTGGAATCCAGGCAAAGGAGAAATCTGCTATGCTGGGGAGGCTACAGTTTGAAGTTACAGGTATGTAACTGTGAAAGAAAGATGAGAGCAATGAAACACAGGAGCTTCTCTCTGAACATAGGGAAACAGTTTTATACTGTGAGGGTGACTGAGCACTGGGACAGGTTGCTCAAAGAGGATGGGGAGTCTCCAACCTTAGAGATACTCAAAAGCCATCTGGGCATGCTCCTGGGCAACCAGCTCTGGGTGGCCCTGCTTGAGCAGGAGAGTTGGACCAGGTGACCTCCAGAGGTCCCTTCCAACTTCAACCATTTTGTGAATCTAACGACAAACTGCTTAGGCTTGCCGTGAGGATGGGTGATCTTGTGAAGTTGTCTTCCCACACGGGACAGTCCTCGTGACTTTCCTTGCCATAGGCTAATAAACTGTGTGTCACAGCAAACTTTGCACACTTTTCCATCACCAAACCATTCCGTGCTAATGTCTTGCAGGAAGCCTGACAGAACCACTCCTTATTACCTGTTCCACGGCAGAGGATTATGAAAAATGCCTCTTCTACCTACAGAAGGTATTTTTCAGAGAGCTTTACTGCAGCAATATCTCTTTTCAAGCCTGGGATTTTCCTAGCCATAGATTCACCTAAGATGTATCATCACCCTCCCAACTTTTCTCCTCCTTTTCCACAAAAGACTCACCTGAGTAGGGAGTTTTCTTTAAGCCTATTGTTCTCCTGATAAGACTCATCCATTTGGCCAGTAAAATATCAGTAGGTAATCAAAAATAGAAAAATACTATCAGCAGGGGTTGAATTTGGGTCCTCTCAGGCAAAATACCTACCTACTCTAGAAGTGAAAGACTGATACCTAAGCACTCAACTTGCACTGATTTTAATGGAAATTACATACTGAAATAAGTAGAACTACTGAGGGGAGGAAGCAGGCCATTGGACTCTATTTTATTAAGCTAGAGAGACCCATTCTCTCACACTGCCTCCTAAAATACCCACGATTGCACCAACAGCTTATGACCTGGTTCCCTGTAAGTTAAATCCATGCAAACAGGAGCTAGTTTCAAGTAGGTCCTTCAAAATTTGACCTTATCTAGGTTCTAGCTTTCAATCATTTTTCATTGGCCAGCACATATCGCACACCCTACAAAAGGGATAACCCTGTCTGGGTTCAGAGAAGAGAAAGGTGAACCAGAAGTGGATGTCTTAAAAGCAGAAGACATCTGGGGCTCCGAGCATTTATTAATCAATGTGGCTATTCTATAGTTGAGCATGGCTACGTTTATCTATGTTTCACGTGCTGAAAATGTGTTCCAGCCAGAGAAAATCCTTGATCCTCTGACTCTGCTGCCACCACCACCGACCATCCCTAAGAAATCCCGACAACATCAGTAGGACATTAGCATGCACCAACAAGAAGAAGGTATGTAAGAACAGAGTGGAAATTGGAAACCAATTTCTTTCAGACTGAGAGGTGAACAAGGGTCTACAACCTATTCTCTATTGGCTGCTGTTTTGAACGGGCCACTGCAATCTATGTAGGATCTTGTGATTCTGATTCTGACCTCAGCTGTACATCTGCCTCAAGGAGAAATCTTTCTCAATTTTCTTATGATATTTCTTGCCTGATTCTTATCATAAAAAGAAACATTGTAAAATTCTGTGAAAATACTAGAAATAAAACCCACTTACCTGAGCCTAAACCATGCGTAGAAAGCAGCATTCGGATAACTGTTGGTTGGGAGAGCCATCGCCTTCCTTTGAAATGGCAGGCACAGTGCAGTTCTTGATGGTGAACAGTACCTTTTCTATAGCTTTTCTGCCCTGCCCAAATCAAGAAGAAATGTTAATCCTGAAAGTTTTCACAAACCAAAAAATTGTTTCCCCATGTACTCATTGCTGTTTTCTGCCTTCCAAGAAGAACAACCCAAAAAACCTCTACGTTGAATCAAATCTATTCACTTTGACAATTTCAAAATATTTCATTTGGATTTTGAATACCTTAAGAATTCTTTCCCCACTCCACATATATGTAGCACGGAAAAGGAAGAATTGCTACAAACCAAAAAAACAAAGCATTTAATTTCCAACAGAAGTTCCCAGTTACCTGTAGCTTAATTGTCCAGGCTGCCTCTGTGGTACAGCTGCAAAGTCACCTGAACAAGCTTTGTGTGGTCCCATGGTCCCTGTTCTATTGCAGTTTTCCTTTATGCGGCCTACACTGGACACATGTAAATCAAGAAAGCAGACAGCTGTGTAAACTGTCAAAAAAAAAAAAAATCAGTAATTTTAGAAGAAAAAAACAACAACTAACAAAGGCATGCCCACAAGCACCATAAATTATGAGTCTCTCTTCCAGATGCTTTTAAGAACTGAACACCTCTGCCAGGCTGGACTGAAACTAGCCAGGAAGTTGAGAAGTTATTTGGAAAAACAGATGTGTAATCACACAATTGCTTAATTTCCCTTTCCTTAGAAAAGGAAACAAAAAAAAATTAAGGACATGAAGTCCCGTGAAAATATTGTTTTACCTTCTTCAGTTTCAGAACACTAACAATTTGCAGGAAACATGAGCAGACATGGCAGCATAAAAACCCACTGCCTGCACATAGCCTTAGCTGCCTTCTGTTGGAGCAAAACCTCTAGTTTGAGAAAAGCTGTTTCTACACCTCAGGCATTTCTCTTATCCTGCTACCCTTGCATTCTTTTTTGCAGCTAAAAGATGAAGAAATCCCCAGAGCTCACTGGGGCCCCAACCACCCGTGCTCGTTCGTCATGTGAATGACTATGTAAAAGCGGATCACCTTAATTCTCCTAACTGCTACTCTGCATTTCCTAAAACAGCGTGGGAAGGTCTTTATCTGATTCTGAACAGCAAGCTACTTCTAAGTATCAAACACTGTCTTAAAGTTTAAAACTTTATCTGAACAGCATGAAGTTTCTGAAACATTTACACGTAGACAAAACCCTGAATAACTGTAGATCCAGAAGAATTTTTTTTTACTAAACTTTTGGAGAAGGTGCACCAAAACAAAGACAGAAAGATAACTTCTCTCCTCTGCTAGGTGCTACTTCCCTGCCCCGAACTTTTGCCATCGTAGCTTTTATGTTAGAGGTCAAAATTCATGAATATAGATCAGGATTAGTAGCACAAAATGCTAAATGGTAACCCTTCTGTTACGGTAAGGCACCTGGCACCAGGAAAATAATATACATTACTCAGGGAAAATAATATACACCACACAGAGAAAAGCTGCTACATTTGGTTCTAACTTCAGAGCTGTTACTGGAAGATTCCAGAACTCCGAGCAGTCGGAGGTTTCCCTCCTGAAGGCGTTTCAATTGCCACTCTGCCAGTCGCTTCCCCTTTATCTGGGGGCAGGCGAGGGAGCCTCAGGCACAGCTAGGCAACGTCAGCTTCTAAGAAATCACAAAACATGTTCTATTAGTAGCTTCCTAGAATTTGTTAATGGTCTTATTGGTAACAACACTTCCTTTCTAAGTATTATTAAAGGACGTGCTAAAAGAGCTGGCTCTTAAGATGGTGAAAGGTTTTGCCGACCAGGTCTGAGAACTCAACCCCCTGGCAGCTTGCGAGGCTGTCTCAAGTGGAACGGAAAGTGGAATGAAAAGGCATGCTCTCCAGCACGGAAGAGGCTTCTTCCACCTCTGTTGTATAAACAGACTTGCTCCAGAAATTTCTTAGTGAAGTGCTATCCGCTTTTCAGAGTCCTTGCTCATGCACAGGCTGCAGGACACAGCTGTGTGCAACACCTTTTATCTGCCATTTCCTCAGCCAGCAACAGGCAAACCCTGTGAAAAGCTGTCACAGCCGTGCTCCAGGTCCAGGCGCAGGCAGCCTGCCTCCGCGGAGCAGAAGGGGTGTGGGGATGTCAGTCAGCCTCCAGGACAGACAGACCCCACCACCAAATCCAACCCCAAGGCATCCCCCGAGAGCTGCGTCTCTTACGGCCAAAGAGGGATGCTGCCAGCAGAGCTCCACGCCATGGGGACAGACACAGCCACCTCTGGGCTCGGCAGCCATGACGGAGCAATCCACATCCTCACCTCTCGGATGGATCCATGCCTGTGAAGCCAGGGACAGCATGAAGATCGCTGGTGAGGGCAAACGCTGCCCACAGACATGACAAAATAGGTACCTCGGGAAGAGTCGCACTAAATAGCAGCAAGTCTTTACTCATCACTGGCAGCCCAAGAACTTTTTTGACAATTAGATTCCTCAGCTCACAGGGCAACTCAAACACAAGTTAAGTGCTGGACAACTCCTAATAAAACAACAACTGAGTGGTACCAACTGTCTCATAAAAACTTGCATTTTTTTCCATAATGATGAAATATACCTCTTAAGCTTCACCTACATATAGTGTAAAACTTACTATGCCCTCAGTTCAGCTGTAATTTGATGTCATTTTGGAGCCTGCACATTTGCCCTTTCATTAGCACTGTCAAGGAACTTTGCGTTTTGTTGTTTAAGATATCACCATGTATCATATTTTAACCATTTACTTGTGACAATAGCATCAATGGAACACTGTCTTTCGAAATTTGCTTGATTGTTTCACCTCTAAAAACGTTAGGATATTTTTCAGGGATGTTTTATTTTCTCTTCTGAAAAGAGATTCAAGCAAAAAAAAAATATATATGTATTGTTACAGACATTTAACTGGATGTAAATGATTTGAGGGAGAAGCCTATTTTAGCCTACAGTCCGCATGCAGAAGTCAAGCTGAAGTTCAAATCAGAACTTGAAAAACCCCATAAACTCCAGGATTTGAGCTTAAAAATTCAGCCATGATCTGATTCAAATATTGCAGTAATTGCACACTGATAAAACTATTATTCTTTCTGAATGGAAACTTAAAATATAGTGCTTTCTTACAAGCTTACTTTTCTGAGCCAATAGCTTTCATTTCCTTCGATGCAAAGAACAGCTCTTTTACTGAAATTCTCCAGGGCTGAAATGATTCACACTTTGGGTTTTTCCCTCTGAACTGGAGCTTTAAGAAGTCAGGAAATTGGTTGCTTTTCCCATCAACAGGCAGCCATAAAGTAAGGTGGTTAGGTAAGCAGGAAGTGGAACTCTTCTTCAAGGTAGGCATATAGAAACCCAAAAGGCCACTGTGCAAATTTCCAGTGAATAATACAGCTCTGTTCATCATGTTTCAGTATTAAACAGCAGCGGTGTCGGCTCTTCAACACCCACAGCCCAGAAAGTCTGGTACACCTCACCAAGATCTGCCGCGTGGTGCCAGAGGCACAGACTTCCACTAGACGCTCAAATCTTTCATTCCTCAAATAGTAAGCTCTGCTGAACTTTTTTTTGCCTCAAATGTTGCTGCTTCTCTGCCACTGTCAGGAACGGAAAGAATTGTTAGCCACAGTTTCCTGCTATTTTGGTAGTGGGTAGCTGAAAAGCTGGTTTAGCTGGCAGCCAGGAAACGTTAAACCGCTTGCTTAAAAAGTGAAAAAAGTGCAAGTGCACTGAGCTAAAATTCAGTGACAGAAGAGTTTGGCTGGGGGTACATTGCTGAAATAGCCAGAGTTCTGTAAGAGAGGGGAAGTGAACTGGGAAAGCAAAACTAAGTGCACTCAAGAACACTGGGACAACCTGAAGAATAAACCCCTTCCTTTCCAATTTGCTTAATTATATCACATAGGCACTTCATTCAATTTTCAAGTTTATTTTACCTTTACAAAAGGTCACAATCAGCAGTCTTGTTGAAAAATTTAAAAAATCAAGAACAGGCAACACAGAGATGAGAACAAACATGGCCAACATAGCAGGAGGAGTAAGAAGTGTCTTTACCAGCCAGTGTTTAGACTTCTGAGTATATTAAATCCCACAGTGAAACTGCTTACAAGGCAGAGACAGTCTCGCACTGTAAAACAGTTAACCCAGTTAATCCAATCCAATGCTTTCACCTTTCCTCGGCTGAATGTCTAGCTCACCTCAATTAAGAATCTGCACATTTCCCAAAGCAATGGAGAAAAACTCACTCTTTTTAAGTGAATTTCACATAGGGATTCTGATGAGAAAAATTATCAGTAACACAAGAACTTAACAGTAAGAGGATCAAAGAAGGCAAAAATACATTGAAAGTACAACATCATCCTTTTAGGGCTGAGAAGTACCACTGCTCCCATTCTGCATGAAGGGGAAGCTAAGACATAGGGGTGTCCATTGCAGTAAACGCAATAACAGAGAAGCTAGAAGATTAAAAGTAGGACTACAGACGAATACGTTATCGTGAATAAGGATAACCCTTTGCACTTCATTTTTCCTTACAACTATCTCACCCAGTTAAAAGATTCTATAATGCACAAAACAAAAAAAGGGCAAAAAGTAAAAAAGACAGGATAACTCCTCTTGACGTAATCACTGAAGAAAGGTTCAGCAATAAAAGCATGAATCATAAAATTAATCCCTCGGCTCTATTCGAGCTTGCCAAGACCTCCTCCAGAAAATGCTTCAAGAAAGACCAACTGGAAAGAGTTTAGAGAGCCAGAGATTAAGAGGTCTAGAAACCACAACTTGTGAAGCAGGGTAAGAGCCCAGAGAAACCAAGGAGAGATGATAGCTCATGCATGCTTAAAAAGATTCTGAAGAGTCAATTCTTCCTCATAATCATAATGGATAATATAAATTTTCACTAACAAAATCTCTCCCCTTCTCTGACTTGAAATCAGTCACCAGACTGGATTGCCTCGAGAGGTCGTGGAGTCCAAGCCTGCCTTGGAGCACAGAGGCTATGGGACTAGCTTACCAAGGTAATAACCTGTCCCACTTCTTAGGATTCTCCACCCAAGTGCTTTTGCAACACACGTCTGTGGAGGCAATAACTTCTGCTCCGCAGCTATTGTAATTTCACAGAGCCCTACTCAAAACAGCAAGTCATTCAGACTTGGAACAGTCCGCTCTGAGTATTTAGCAAGGCGATTAACAGAAATTTCATTATTCTGTCAAGATTTAATTTAGAAGCCCTATACTGTTTGTGTTATCTGTAAGAAATTGTGAGGAAGATGATGCAATGGCTGTACTGCGAGATATTTATAACCCTTCATGTGAAGGTTGAGTCAAAACTCATTTTTTTCCGGAGCTGATTTGGTCATAAAAGAGTCTACTCCAAGCAGCTTTCACCAGAAGGCCAGATCAGAAGGCATCCGGAGCTTTGAATCTATTATTGCAGTCACATCACACGAAAATAATTATATAAGAGAGACATGTGAGTTTTAACTAGCTGAAGCCACAGGCTAGATTCTTATTTGAAATCAGTGTCAATTCACAGAAAGCAACCAATCCCAGCTGAAACCCTGCCCCTGTAACTCAGACAAAACAATTAATTCTAGCCATGTTCGAGCTCTATGAAACTCCGTGGTACAATTTTCAGTAAGCTGATGATCAAGACACTGGAGGTACGCTGGTACACACTAGCAGATGCTCAGGCTCTTTTTCTTCTGAAGCAGGCAAAAAAAAAAAAGCATCAAGAAAAAATGCTGGGTTTTTCTCTGTTTTCCGCTGTTTTTTCCCACTCTATAAACTCGGTGAGAAGAGAGCATCAAATCGAATGCCTTTCTCTAGACAGCGTGATCCTCATTTGAGCTTTTCAGAAGTCTCCCTTTTGTAATCCAGTATTCCAGGTAACCAGGATTGCTGAGAAGGAGAAGGACAAACAGAAGAGAAGGAGGATAAACATGACTCCCTTGTTGCCCTAGTTTCCCTGGAGGGGATGAGGGGATCACAGAACTTGCACAGAAGAATCTCTGCGAGCACAAATGAGGTGGGCATGGCAGTGTCACACTGGCACCTCTGTGCACTGAGACTGGCCTAACCAACACCTTCTGTCGGGACTGGGGAGTATTTTACAGATTAGGAGCAACAGCCTTTTGCTGCCTAACAACGAGGACAATTTGGCAGGAGTGAAAAGCACTACCTGCTTAGAGAAGAGCAGTAGATATGGTTGCTAGGCACAGTGCCTTATTCCCTTAATATGAGCATCAGAACGCATCCTGGAAATAGAGAGCCTGTAAAAGCTGTGAGTGTGCCCTATAGGTATGACTGTATTTCCTGTAGCACTGAAGGGACTGATGGCAGGACACCGGCCTTCTGCGTGCGTATCAGTCTGCAGGAGCACCACAGAGACATGTGCAGAAGATGCAAAGGGGAATAATGACAAGAAGGGTCCTTGGTTCCAAAGTGAAAAAGAAACCAAACAACCCAGGAAACTTGCAATAATGCAACGCACATGAGCTGAACGTCAGCCTGACTTAGCAGATTTTCTGCTTGCTGGAAACCAGCTTCCTAGGTTTGCTGAGAAGAAACAAAGCGAAACTCCCACCAAACCCATTCCCCACTGCTATGTACATAATGATGCTTTATGCACACAGCCCCTCCCTTTTTTTTTTTTTTTGAAAAGCTGAGCTCAGCTCCGCATTCTTATAGCACATTGCAATTTATGTGTTTTCACTGTAGACTCTGTGGGTGGAAAAAACAAGGCTTTTCTTCTGGTGTTTTGCCTCCATGTTCTTCTTCTGGAAACTGGCAGCTGTAAGTCTCTTCTCTATGGTGTGACAGTTGTGAAGCCACCGGCAGCCTAGGGAAGTTATGTTCCAGATCTGCAGTGAGAATAAGCAAAAGCACTGCACATACAAGAGGTCTTCACACATCTCAGTTAGCTGCCCATTACCTTTACCAACACAGCCTGTCTCTGAGGAAAGGACAAAGATGCAGGCGATGCACTGCATCTTAGTGAAACTAAGTAACCCACCCAAAATCACAAAATAAGCCCATACTGACTCTATTCATTTAGCTTAATTTATTCCATTCTGATTCTGGATGAACAGACACAATGTTCACCACTGAAAAGCTACACAAAGGCGTGCTTACCGTCAGCTGTGTGGTATTTTTCTCTCTTCAGTGACCATATGCAGAAATGCAAGAAGAAAGTCAGCAAGATGAGAACAAATACAGCCACTGCAGTAAGGATGGCCAGGATGGTGGTATAGAGAGAGTCATTTGTAATAGGAGCTGCAATTAAATACACTTCGTAAAGATTCAGAAATCATGTGCCCAGACTATTGTTAAAGGAAAGGCAGTTCTTTCAAGGAAAACTAGAGATTAAATTCCTCTTTCTGTGGAAAATAATTTTCCAAGGAAAAAAAAAACCAGTGCGGATACTAACAATAAAACTGAGTGCTCGAAGTCAAGGGTGCAATAGATCACCGCCTGTGGTAAGAAGCATTCAAGCAAAGAACCCACACGCGTCTGATCTCTTCATCGCTCAATGTCTCTCTTGCAGCTATCACTTGTTCTGCCTACACTGTTTTGGTTTTTGCTTTCTGGGAGGATTTGGCTTCAATGTTTCCCTGAATAGCACTGCAGGAAGCCAAATTTTCACGCCTGTGTCTGCCTCATTGAAGTTAAAAGTAGCACATTTTTGCAATTTGTCTCAGCAGAACAATACTGAATGAAGGGCCCAGACCTGAAAGGCACCAATTCATTGTAGGAACAAGGGTGGGGGCAAAGGCAGGAGCAGTGCAGCTTGCTGTCTTCAAGATACTCTGTACCTGCAAAGCCTGTGCCCACCTACTCCTATCTAACTGGATCCATGATAAGACATTAGATTTCAATTCTGTGCGTTGTGGACTCCACCAATACTTGTTAAGGAATTGGATGACTAACTAAGCTACTGTCTTCCTAAGAAAATCTAGCAAAACAGCAAGAGCAGTTCAATGGAAAACTCTGACAATTTGCCAAATAAGCGTGCTCTATTCAAGGACAATTGTCAGGCTTTTCTCTACCTTTATTACTGACATTGCTTTAATGGTGGAATCTTTGCCCAGGTCAACAATTCTACCTGTATTAATACTTCCAGAAACACAATAATTTTCAAAGCAAATTCTCATGATAGCAAGCTCTGGATGATAACTATGCAGCAAGTCACCAGCTGAAGAAATGCAGAGAAAAGCTATAGGCTCAAAGAAATAAACCATTGTGAGACAGTACCTTGCTCCATATCTTTTGGAGGGAAACCACAGACTGCATTATGCGTACTGTTGCCTCGCTTGATTGTTAAAAGCCCAGAACTTTCACATCTAAAAGAAGAATAAGAGTCACATTTAGAACGTCCCTGCCTTTCCCATCATTCCTCTCCAGCCTTTCTCTTGGCTCCCTTTCTTCCTTCCCTCCGCTCTTTCCACAACTTGTTTCCTTTTTTTTCCATTTTATAGCAGTGCAGGTAAAGTTACGGCTGTTCCCCGACAAGATAACACTACATGACAATTGTTTATGTGCACACTTTTTCTAGTCCCTTTGTTTCAAGTGATGTCCATGTTTGGAATAATTTTGTATCAGTCTGAGCGGGACTTGGAAGCAAGTTGAATACACAGCAGTTTGTCTTTGGATCTGCTCTGAGACCGACTATTTATCAAGCCAAAGGAGAGTACAATATCACAGTGATGAATTTTAAAAATTCAGCATTTAATCTCATTGGTGATATCATCTTTGACTCAGTTTTATTTTCTAATTTAAGTCTTAATAATTTGAGAATTTTTACATGCATATTCCCAAAGAAGGAAAGTATCATTAAATACATACTCGGTCCAGTTACGACACCAGCCATTCTTAACATCGGAATAGGTTCCTATCTTACATGGTTTACATTTGAATGTGAAGTCTAAAATGCCTACAAGAAAAGAGAACATGAATTATTAGTGATCAGTGCCTTTACTGAAAGATGGGGATGTAACAGATTCGAGCAGAACGCATTCCCTCCACACTCTTTCTGCATTAGGAATCACCCCCCTGGAGAAACACGTAATTGGTTCTTGCCACCTTTGCGTTTGGGAAAGGTATGGGCGGACCCCTTGCAGAAGAGGTACAGAATAGTCTGGTCTGGCAGCAGAGGGTGTAAAGTGAAGAGGCAATACAGAGTAAAACAGCATTCTACTGACAGTTCTAGCAGCTTGGAAGAAAAGTAATGAAAGTCTAAGCACGAAAGTGAAAGACTCAAATTTAGGAGGGGAGGAGTTATAAAACAGGAAAGCAAGAGTTTTAGTCAGAGGCCACAGTATAAAGGCCACTTCTCTCTGCATCACGAGCCTTCCCAAAAACAGGTTATAGTAAGTGAAGGAAACTGTCTGCTGCCCAGCCAGCCACTTCTATTGAATTCTGTCTTTTAGAGTCGTTTGTGTTTGTTTATTTACCAAGCTTAACCAGCTCCTCGCCCTCTGCACATTCAGGCAGTTTGCTGCAGTAGTGACATGCACTGTCAGTACAGCTGTATCCCTGACGACATTTGCAGTCAATGTCCTCAGTATTTTGACACGCGCCGTTGTCTCCTGTCAAGAAGAAAGAAGTCAGACTTGCCTTTGTCACAGAGGCCAGAAATTAACTTAACCATTAGTCTTACTTGCTGTGGTGGAAAAAATGGGTACCAGAAAGATGGCACTCCCATACATACTGGATAAAGTTTACTCAAATTCAGTACCACTCAGATTTTTACACTACAGTTATCTGAGCACTGCATGACTTACCACTGTAACCCTTCTCTCTTATCTGGAATACCAGTGTAGGTCGTGGTAGACAGAAGTAAGGTGGCAGGTTTGCTTTACTACATTGCGCAGATTTAGACACTGTGGGGTGAGGAGGGTACTGCCAGTGCCCCAAAGCAGCACTACACATTACCCAGCCATCCAGGCAGCTCTCAGGACACTGCCACAGCTCTTCTCAGTTAGACTCAGCCATGTTAGAGGAGGGATGCCCAAAAGTTCCTTGGCCAGTGAAGCTAGGGCTCCTTTTCCATGCCTTTCCTAACAACAGCAGCTGCTTCCTACACTCTGGTGGCAGAACTGGGTCTAAATCCAAGCCATAAAACCAGCACCCTTTCTATCCTCTTTCCTTCTATTTCTAGAGGAGTTCTGTTGTGAACTTTGCTTGCACTCAAAAAATGTCATCTCTAATTCTGAGAGGCTCCTGGGTTCATGACAGCAAAGGATTGAGCATATATACTGATCCCATCAGAAAACAGTATCAAGCAGTCCTTCAGGCAGTTGGAGACCAGTTAGAGGAAAAGTGCTGTTCAACCAGGAAGCTGTATAATCTTAAAGCAAAAAAAATACAGAGTGAAATGCTGGCTAGTTCAATAGCGTGCTTAGAAACCCAGAGCGAGTAGCAAAGATCAACCAAAGATTATTTCCTGAGGCTGGTGATGGAATGTACAGGGCCACCAGTGAACTGCCCACATCTTCCTCTGCCCACTGGCCTCCTCTTACTGGCCTTCAAAACTTCATGATGTCTGGCAGCACAAAGGAAATAGCGTGGGGATGCTTCTTTCTGTGTATTACTAGTGTGCGATTCTGGAGCTGATCCCACCAAGCAGTGACTCTCCTACCTCCTGCTGAGTTACTTTATCTCAGTGGGAAGGGAAATACCCTGGGGTCTCCACACTAATGAGGACTCTATGGCTTTTCACCTATTTATTGCTCATTCCTGCAAATCCCATGTGACCATGCGCTCCTTCCACAGGGAACTCTGTGCCCTTGTTGTTGGTTGAGGCTGATATATTGAAGTTACTAATAGGTGGGAGGCTGACTCCTACCCAGGCACCAACAAAAGATGTAACTTCTCAGCTAACCTGTTGCTAACCTGCGGCACAACAGCACTCGCATCCTAGCTACACAAGGCTTCCAGCAACCCTGTTTCAGGACAAACTGAAAAGGAAGGTGTTATGGACAGCACTAAATTAGGAAGAATTGTATGATTGCTCCTGGGACCATGAAAGAGACTATTAGAATCACCTGTTCTGTCCCTCAGCCTAACAGGCACAGCAATGTTGCCCACTAAATCCTGCTGCTAGCCTGTGCCACCTTTAGGGCCTTAATTTGAGTTAAAATCACAGGGAAGTGAGAATTCATTACCATCTCACCACCATCCCAAGATCAGGCAAGGTTACAGGTTAGAACAGGCTGTTGAAACCAATCATCTCTCGAGACCTTGTCTCTGCATTTACTTCTGGGACAAGCCCAGGTCAGTGGAATGGAGGGACTGAAGCGGGATGCTTCCCACCCTTTAGGACCACCAATTGCAAAGAACAGCCTTACAGAGAGCATCACTCCCTGTATCCCCGCTGAAGTCTGAATGGCACAGACAAACTTTGAAACCATGTTTTGTGAATCAGTGTTAAGTGAACACCTGCTTTCCTTGTGAGCAAGACCAACCCACAGGAACTTCGCTTTCTCTTTCCCACTGCAGAAACTTCGCTTTCTCTTTCCTACTACAGAATAACACACACAAGCACATAAACTGAAACATGAGTCCACTCCAAAGTTCACAGCTCAGGGGCATTATGAATTCAGGGGCCAGGAGGGAAGTCCTTGCCATTTTGTTTTGCATATACGGTTACTCAAGACACATTTACATAAACACACACACACCTGCCTGTTCCCCACACCTGATTACCCTGGCTGACATAAAACAATATTGACAAACAGAAAGAAGACAGGCACATAACTCCTTACCGGTCTTTGAGATGCACTTGGGGCAGCATTTCTTTTCGCCTTTACCTATTATTCTCAGTTCACCATCCTGGCACGGTGTTGCCAGAGTTTGCTGTGTCCATGGCCATAGGCAGACCACCAGCAGCAAGCAAGCTTGAATCCTGAGGTGCCTGGCTTCGCTTGGCTGTTCAGTCATGTCTTGAGCTATACAACCCAAAAGCACACTAGAGTGGGCTTGTATCAGAACTTCCCTGCAGAAGTGCTCTCTCCTCTGACACTGTGGGAAGGCACTGTACTTTTTGTGGCTGCACTCTTCCTGTTTCTTTAGGGGCGGGCAAAAGATTCTATCTTACGTCATCAAATTCTTAAAACAGCAGGGCTAAGCAACCACGCACCAATGACTCCATTAAGAGAGCTGCAGGTTAGGAGCAAGATGTAGCATCATGTAATTAGACTTTCAAAGGATTTCGCAAGTGGATATACAATTGAAAACTAATGCAAACTTAAATTAGTGTGTAAACCTCAGCACCCTCAGACTATTTCATTCTGACTTCAGAGTTCCTAATGAATTTAGAAATGTCCAAGGATTTAACTATCAGACCGCAACATATATTAAGTCCATCCATCCACTCAGATTTTCTGATTCTGTTAACTATTTCCAACTTCTTCACCCTTCATCAGGAGACTCTTGAATTATTTGTCAGAGGCCATATAACTCCATATGGATACCATGAAACCAAGAGAAAGAATACTGTCTTCCTCACAGGCTGCAAGATCAGCCCTGGCACCAAACCTGAAAATGGCTGCAATGGGCTCTCTAGAGACACGTACAGCTTCTCTGAATCCCAGACCCCTGGGATTTAGGTAACAACAGACAGCTGCTCAGCAAAATTGTACATAGGCACAGACATGTTGCCTGTAATCATCACCTGCTGCTGGGTTTCAATTCCATAATGTCTTGCCTTATACAAACGCATATGCAAATGTCCATGTCTGGTTTATGCGTAGACAGCTTGCTTGCTTTCCCCCCTTCCCCTTTGATTTCCACTGTACTCTTGGGTTCGCATCTATCCTTGTAGCTTGTGGTTGCTTTTATGTGTGCACAGCGAAGATGGTATTGAAAATCCAACCTCATTCTCAACTAACAGATGAAATCTGATGCAGACACAGTTTTTAACGGATTCTTTCCCACACCGCATATGATGATAAATAGGTCAAGGCAAGGGAGAGTCAGACCTGCACAGAGAGATGAGTGCCTCTAGAAAATGCCATGCCTACAGTATTAGACACTTGCCCTGTTAATTCCTCAGTTTAATGCACAGCCAATAAAGACTCAATAAACTTTACACACAGACACCATCACTCTTCCTCAGTGCATTCAACACTTTCTTCCTTAAGATTCTCCTATGGATCTCAAAGAGTAGGTCAGTCAACACATCTTCACTTAGTCTTTGGTCTACTCAGGGATCTCCCTGTGTTCCTGTCTTGGGCTGGAAACAACCAGATAGGTTTGATATGCAATTGACCCTTCTAGTTTTAAAAATGCATGTGCAAAGCTGCTTGTATGCTTAAATGTACTAGGTGAAATCTTACTATCAAAAGAGGACATCCAAACTAGCTGCAAGCAGGCAGAAGTCACAGATCTGTGCTGTCAAGTTTTTCCGACATATTGCCTCTAGAAGGCCAACTGCTCTGTTTCAGAAACTACAAGCCTCCTACTTTGTACTTCTGCCACACAGGAGATGCCCTCCTCTCCCCATACAGTACTGCTCCTCACGCTTCTCACAGCCTGTACCACTCACGCTGCACTGGAAACCGGGACATGCTGCCTGCTGCAGCTGCTGCCCAGGTGGCCACAGAGAGCCCTGGGCATCCCCATTCTCGGGCTCAGTCCCCCAAGTCTGGATTCCTTTCACCAGCTCTTCCAAACAGCATAACCACAACGCCTGGGCAACACAGGGAAGGTTTAGAGGGACTGGTCAAGGTGCTGGCCTCGCACAGAGAGCACGGTGCACTCAGGAGCATCCAAAACTGTCCCACTCTCTTCAGAACTCTGCAGAGACTTACGATGAAGACAAGTCATCAGCCAAAGCACTTGCACGCTGCAGTGATATACTCTGCAGACCAGTTATGACCATTTCTGAACTGCACACAAGTCCCGACCAAATCTGAGGATATTTTTATTGTCTCTGGCTCCTATAAGAATAAGCTAATAATAAGGGGAACTCGTTTCAAAATCCTTGCTATGGTGATGTTAGGATTCACCCCAGGGCATACTGGCTGCAATACCATTTGAAAATAATCCTCACATAACAGGGCAAGGAATATCCAGAGCACAGCAAGCCCCTCCACCTTACTGTGGATGCAGCCAGAATTCCTAGGGGCAGAGCAGCCCACATCTGCCCTGACAACAAGTGCTGTTATTGCTCTTGTGAACAGCGTGCTAGCCAAACTCTCAGTTCCACCTTCTCCTACCCTTTGCCCCTTCCCCAGCACAGGCTGGTACAGTGGGGAAATGTGGCACCAGCAACTTTTAGAAGTTTAGAGCCAGTGCATCCATAGAGATTGTGGACAGGAGGGGACACACCTTCCCATACGGCCCAACACTTTCCCTGGCTCTGCAAGACTTTCTCAGAGTCTATAAAAGAGGTACTCCGTCTCACCTGCATGAAGAAAGCAAGAACAAAAGACCCACAGAGGAAAGCCAAATTTCTTGAAATCAAGATTTTTTCATTGTCCCAGCAGCACCCACCTTTGAGGTCAGGTGCTTCCAGTTTCATTAAAAGATAGCGTGTAGGCTCCCTACAAACATAAAAGGGCTGCAAACCTTCTTACCGTAGCTGGCAACACTGATAGCAACTGTGGGATGTCACAAATGGTCTTTAGGAGTAACCCTGACAAATCATCTATTCACGCGGTGTGCAGAGAAAAATGTAACTCGGGAATAGGAAGAGATGGGGTCAGCTCAGTGTGTTGCTGAGAGACCTGCCCAGGGGTGCAGCGCAGGCTGCCCAGAAACTCCCTGAGGCGTTGCTCTGTTACTTGTACCCTGGATGGGGTCCCACCGTCCATATTGACATGGAAGAGACAAATCCTGCCAGAACCCCAACAGCTGCTTGATGACAAAGCTGGGTTCCTGAGGAGCTGAGAGTCATTTAGCCTCATTTTCTGGAAGTTAGACCTCAAGGCCACACGCCGGAATATGTGGCACACCAGTCACTGATAACTAATGCTGCTGAACAAGTAACAGGAAGATCTGTTACTTCCAGCAACAGCTGGGACGGGTAATTTTGTAACTAGCCAAAAGACTTCTGTGGCAGAGGCCCAGGTCTCTTAAGTCAGGCACCACACTAGGAAGATCTGTTACTTCCAGCAACAGCTGTGACGGTTAATTTTGTAACTAGCCAGAAGACTTCTGTGGCAGAAGCCCAGGTCTTTAAGTCAGGCACCACACCTAGTCTGTTGATGCCTTACTTTCTTCATCTTTAGAAGTACAGTGGTAGCAATAGGTCAGAAAGGACAAGCACAGCGTAGCGGTTCCAGATGGAGGAACTGGCCATTCCCCTGAAGCTCAGAGATGGACACCAATCACTAGCACTGCCTAAATACCAAATATGAACATTGATCAGACAGTGTCGTAAACACAGCAGTAGAGAAGGCACCTCCAAAGGTCCTACCGAGAAAACTGGCAGGTGGTACACAAGGGAACCCTGAGCCTGCAGGCAGGCAGCTGGCACACGTGATATCTGATACCTTGTGTTTATCAGAATAGGAACTAATAACTTACTTCCCTCTATCTTTTTTGAACATTGTTTTTTTCTGAATTGCTCTCTACATGTTTTCATTCTTGTTCAAGCATTACAGTCGCGCGCAGATACTGCCAGGTGATGGAACATTTACAGTCAGATCACAGACAACAGCTGCACACACCAAGTCTAAATCTCTAGAGTCAGCAGTGACCTTTCAGAGACAACTTGGCTATCTGGCTTTAGAATCTTTGGGGCTTTTCTAAAGCTAACCTTACCTGTCTCTGATGTAAGGTAGTGACATTTCCTCGGTTAATCCCTTTCTTGCTCAGTCCTGTACGTGATGTACGCCACTGCTGCTAGGTTCCACGCTGCTGCCTGATCCGGCAGGGTTTCCAGCTCTCTCTGCACCTACTGATAGAACAAATGCCTGTTTCACTCATCAGTGGGCAGCAGTCACTCCTCACTCCCCACTACCTCACTGTTTGGTAGGTTTATTCAGCAGCAGCTACAGGATTAACCAGACAATATTTGACTGAGACTTTTCAGAAATTAGGAATCCTTACAGCCTTTCTGTTCACACACAAGTAGAGGTTTTGCAGCCTGCAGAGTTTCTTTCAATCCATGTGACCTGCGCTCAAAATTACAATCCCAAGGCTTAAAAAGCCATTGGAAGCAATGTGGTCTTTGGGGTTGTCTGGGCACGTGTATCATGCAATGTCTTCTCCAGGAAGACATAGCCCGGTCTCAGACCGGCAAAGAGAAGCTAGGGGCTGAGATGTTCAGAAACACCTCAGGGTTCAGAGTTCCCCATTGCCACCATAAAGGAGCATCCAAATGCCGCTGCTACTGTCCCTTTGGAGAGAGACTCTGCAAGGGCTCGTGCTGGAGTCTGAACCGAAGCGTCTCTTGCGTGTCAGGCTCTAGTCCCTCAGTCTTGGATGAAGAGGTCAATCTTTTATGACCATCTCCAAGCAATGAATCTGGGTTCTGAGTGTGGGGCCTCACTATGTCAGGAGACCTAGGGAAGACAGATTGCTTCTCCTTCCTTCAGCAAAGGAAGGGAAGCACACAAACACAGGTGGTAAAAGATCCCAAGTGCAGTGGCTCACTCCCTGCCCCAACCTCCACGGAAGAAAGGACTCTCCTCCAGCTGCACCTGCCCATACACATACATAGGCTCAGGGCAGGTTAAGGCTGAAACACACAGTGACAGAACAGAAGAAAAGATGTTACAGACTTCCTAATCCCTTCTCCCTCCTCTGTGCTACCATGACCTGAACACGTAATGCTAAACAGAGTGCTCAGGGATGACACTGAAGGAAGAACCAGTGGATTCTTCCAACCACTGATGTAGCAACTTGCACCTCTGTCTTCACGGCACACATTCCTAAAATTATTTACAGAAACTGGCTGTGATTTCAATTTTTGCCCACCTTAATGATATCCA